AGTCCCTTGTCACCTGTCGCTGGTGCAGATATCTGGTTTCCCAGGGTGGACAGTTAATCGCTGCTGGCTCTGTGGCTTCAAGAGTCTGTCTAGGTCCCACGGAGCGTGATGTCGTCGGCACAGCGTTGACCCAGACAAGGGTCCCGGAGCACTTCTCCCACGTGCCAGCCCTGACCTGCCGCTGGGGCATCTGCCTCACCCTCTGAGCCGCCCGGACCCTTCGGCCTCTGGTGCCCGGCAGACATCCTTAATCAACAGCCGGGTTCCCAGAGGGCCTGGTGGATTGGCCATGTCTGCCGTGGCCCGAGGACTGTGAATCAAGGACCTGCTTGGAGACGTCCTGTCCTGCCCGGGCAGCAGGTTGGGGAGGTCTGGGGCTGGCTTTGTAGGGGCACACTGAGAGAGGACTGTGGGGCATCTGTCAAGTCCATGGGCCTGAGCACCCAAGTGCTGGGGTTGGGAGCCAGGCCTGCCTGCCATCTGGCTGTGTGGCCCTCTGCTCATTCAAGGTGACAAAGAGGGGAGGTACATTGTCCCTGGCGTCCACACCAGCCAGGGGCCGTCTCTGGCCGGGCCTGGCTCAGGGGGGCGTTCTCCTTAGCTGCCCYGTGCCCAGGCCCAGTGGCCCTCCTCACCTGAGTGCCACAGGATGGGGCAGAGCCCGGCTCACCCTGCGGGAACCAGGGGACTCCAACCTCCTGAAGGCAGCCACCAGTGCCAGCCAGGACCAGAGACCCGTGGGCCCCTCGCTGCTGCAGGTTCTGCCCTCCCCCTCCCGCCCTGGGGCCTCCCCCAGCCCGGGCTCTCTTAGAGAGCTGAACTGTCCCCCTGCGTCCCCTGGGGCCAGAGCTCAGGCCTGGAAGTGGCAGAGGGGACGCCAGGAAGAGAAGCTGACTGAGCGCCTGCTGCCTCCACCGAGCTCCGCGCTGTCCTCTGTCACCTGCACCTTACRAGGTGGAGCTGGGTCTGTGCTGCCTCACAGCCCAGGAGGCTGGAGGGCCACCTGCCGGGGCTCGGTCCCTCCAGCTGACAGGGGCGAGGAGAGGCTGCCGGCCAGGGCTCCCGGCCTGCGCCCCACAGTTCACTGAAGGCCAGACAGCCTGTCCCCTATGCGCAGGAAGGACGAGACCCTCAGTGACCGCCTGCAGATGAGGAAACCGAGGCTCAGTTAAACTTGAGCAGATCCCCATCTGGTGCTTCTAACCCAGCCGTGTGGCCGGCGGGCTGCTGAGTGACGTCYGCCGTTCTCCCTGCCCCTCGGGCCTCAGTTTCCGCAACTCTAACGGGAAGTTGAGCTGGATCCCATGTGCCCTCTGCCCCGCTGCCTGCCCACCCCTGGTCTCCGTAGAGGCTGAAAGCAGGACTGGTCAGCAGTGTCGGCTGGAAAAGAAAGGGCGTCCCCTGCTGGCCACGGCTGGGATCGTCCTGCACTGGCTGCCATTCACCTGCCTTCCCACCTCTGAACTCAGGTTTGCRGGGGACCCCCAGGCCAGGAAGTTGAACAAGGACCCTGTGTGGAACGTCCAGGCCCACAGTCTCCTGAGCTCATGCTGGTGGGAAGCCTGGTGGTGGCCTGGAATGGGACCCTGACGTGCTGCCTGGGGAAGCGGGTGGCCAGGGAGGGTTCCTGAGAGCCGCAGGCACACGCAGGTACACACAGTCCCAGCAGCACGGGGCAGTGGGGTGCACAGAACACAGGACCACCATTGATGACACCCCGTCAAGCCTCTCGGGGGTCGGGTGGCCGCAGGAGTGGCATCTTGTCTAGAGCACCTCGTTCCCGGCTGCATGCTGGGTCACGGTGGCCGCGGGTGGCCACGGTCTACAGCCACGTGCCTACACAGCAGGGCGGGCGAGGGGGCCCTCAAGGCCGGGCCTCCTGGGTTTGGGCCCAGGACCTGCTTCTGCYCYGTGGCCTTGGGGAGCAGGTCCGCCCTCGAGTCCCCGATTGCTCCTCCGTCGGGCAGGTACATCCCATCGCACAAAGTCCTTCAGGGCACATGGGGACAAGTGTGTGGTCACCGGCCACGCTGTGGGGGTGGCCTTGGGGTTGGTGATTCTGGAGGCCTCAGGGTAGCGGGTGAGGAGGGCCAGTAATGTGAAGGTGAGGGCCAGCCCTTGCTAAGGGAGCCCCAGGTCAGAGGGGGCAGGCACAGCCCCTGCCCCGCTGCGAAGGTGGCCCACACGTTCATGCACGCACACACACACACACACACACACACACACACACACACGCGCGCGCGCCACTGCTGGACAGGTGGCCCAGGGTGCAGCAGCAGGGGTCCTTGCAGCCAGCAGGAGGCTCCCGTCACCCTCAAAGACAGAAGCCAGGAAAGGCCGAGGAAGGCCGTGGTTGGAGGCAGCAGGGAACCCCTTCCCAAACCTCCGTGGCCGAGAGTGACTCCAGAGTCTGGCTGTCATCCAGAGGCATCTGTGACAGGGCACGCGGGAGCGCCAGGGGTTTGATTTCTAACCGTGGGTCGGAGGCGTGGCTCCCCACCCTYCAGCTGCAAGACTCAGGTAAACCCCCAGAGGGGTCTGTGCCAYCTGCCCCGGGGCAGCTGCTCCCCTGGGCAGGAGGGACCATCAGAAGCCCTCTCCTGAGTTCCAGTGACCATCGGAGCCCTCTCCTGGGTTCCAGTGCCTCCTGCTCTTCCTGTCCACCCTCTGAGCCCAGCCGGCCCCAGCMCCAGGCAACGGCTGAACCCCAGGCTGTGGCTGCCTAGGGGTCAGCCCTGGTCTCCCGGTCAGAAGCCCAGCCGCCCCCTCTCATGGGAGCCGGAGCGCAGCCTCAGGGGGCAGGTGCCCCATGGCCCTTCCACAGGATGGTCTCCTCTGCAGGATGCCCCTGACCGGGGTCTGTCTTTGCCTGCAGCAGGGTCCCCAGTGTGTGGGTGCAAGGTGTCAGGCACAGGCACAGAGCCCGCCTGGCTGGGGCCGCCCCTGCCTGGGGACGTGAGGCCAGGCGTCCTCCCCTGCAGGCCTGCCGTCCCAGCGGGCAGGTCGGGGTTCCAGCCCTGGGGACGAGGCTGAGCCCAGCTGGCCACGAGGAGGACAGGCCCCGCTGGGGCACTGGCAGCTCAAAGCTGGAATTCAGAAGTGTCCACCCAGGGCCTGGAGTCCCGGGACCCCCTCCCTGCACCTGCTCTACCTGGGCAGGAGGATGAAAGGGCCCAGGGCCAGAAGGACATCAGCCTCTGTGGGCGCTGGGCTGGAGCTCGGGGTCCGCCTCGTCCTGTATACAGAGGGTCTGCAAGTCKGGGGAAGAGCACAGCCGTTGTCTGCCCTGAGTCAAGGCCATCTGCTAGCCACAGGGCCAGGACCCCTCAGATTGGAAGACCTCTCCGCAGCAGAATGTCGGGTCAGGTGTGTGGGCCTTAGGGTCAGATGTGGCTGTGGTGCTTCAGGCAAATGACTTACCCACTCTGGGCCAGCTCAGGCTGGAAGCTTCCAGAGCCCAGGAATTGCACCGCCCACTCCCACCACCTCCACAGCCTCACAATCCCCTCCCTGCTCTACGGTGGGGGGGGGCACGCAGACTGGGGCCTGCTCTGTTCCCAGGGTGCCGTGCCGAGGGGAGGGAACGGAGTCACTGCCCTACAGAGCGGGGACACGTGTCTGAGTCTGTTGTCCGCCATCTGGTCCTTGTGTCCTACAGTTGGCCGTTTAAGGTGTCCACGCTGCTCGAGTTCAGCATCTTCACAGGATTTACATCCAGCAGGACCAATGGGAGGGGACTGCCATGACCTCAAAAATACACTACGACCTTCAGCGTCACCCCATGGCCCGGGCCAGGGCCCCAGTTGATTTCCCTTCTGTCTCCCTAGAGTCCCTTCTTGGGACATTTTGTGTAAATGGCGTCACACGCCTTGTGGCCTTTAGCAACTGGCTTCTSTCGCTCAGCATGATGTTTTCAAGCCCCCCACGTGGCAATAGGCGGCAGGTGGGTCCTTCCTGGAGCCGCGTTTCACGTTGGTTGGCGCTCCCTGGTGCTGTCCATCCATCGTCCCTGGGGTGGGATTGTTCTGCCTGTTTAGTTTCTTGAAGATGCTGCTGCAGACACGCTCTTGCCTGGACATGTGTTCGCGTTGCTCTTGGGTGCGCGCCAAGGGGTACGATTTTCGGGTCATGTGGTGACTTACTTGATCTTTTTGAGGAACCGCCTGACTGTTCTCCAAAGCCTCCCCCTCTACACGGGCCGGCAGCAGTGAGGGTTCAGTCCACCCGAGTCCTCGCCAACACTTGTTACTGTCTTTAACCGTAGCCCTTCTAGTGAAGGGGTGCTCTCCCTCCACTGTGCCTTTGGTTTGCGTTTCCCAGATAACTAACGGCATCAAGCGCCTTTTCATGTCCTCGTTGGCCACTTCTTGGGGAACTCTGTTCAGATTCTCCACACGTACTTTAAGTGGGCTGTCTTTGTATTATTGAGTCGTGAGCGCTGTTTACATGTTCCAGACTAAATCCCTAATCAGACGAAGGGCTGGCAGACATTCCCCCACCCCCGCCGTCTCTGGTTTTGAGGACAGGGTTCTCTGAAGCGCAGGTTTCAGTGTTGATGACCCCAGTTCATCTGTTTTGTCCCTGTTGCCCACACATCAGTGTCTTGTCTTACAAGGTTTTAATCAAACTCTTCTCCCCAGGGGAGACCCAGAGTGGATGGGGGACACTTGGGCAGAGCTGAGTCCCTCGGTGGGCTCAGAGTGGCCCTGGGGGTCCCTTCTGCTTTCTGGGCTGGGGGTCAGGAGCTCACCAGGCTCTTCACCCTGGGGACCCCCGAGCCGGCTCAGGGCTGGGAAAGGCCTCAACAAGGCCTGGCCCCTGCCTGGGTGGCGGAGTCCCCGTGGGGAGAAGAGGAGTCAGGCAGAGAAGGCCTGGTCACACCCTGGGGACGCAGTGGGTGGAGCCCGAGAGACACTTGCCCGTCCCAACCCTGGTTTCTCTTCCATTAGAGGCGCTGGGGAGCCCCAGGGTCGGGAGCTAACGCGCTTCTCTGTCCTCAGCCATGAAAGCCGATCGCAAGCGCCTGAAGGGCGAGAAGACGGACCTGGTGAGCCAGATGCAGCAGCTGTACGCCACGCTCGAGAGCCGCGAGGAGCAGCTGCGCGACTTCATCCGCAACTACGAGCAGCACCGCAAGGTCAGGGCCCCTCCGCGCCCCTCTCTGTCGGGTGCACGCGCTGCCTCTCCAACCCCAGAGCACTGGTGGGAGGCTCCTGTGTGCKCAGCCGGTTCTGGGCACTCAGAGGAGACCAGCTGAGCCCCTGGTGGCAGGCCCGTGTCGCCTGGACAGTGAGTCCAGCTGCTTCAGATCCCCACTCCCATGTGTGTGCCCTTGGGCATCCCATGTACCCTCTTAGACCGTCAGTTTCCTCATCTGCAGAGAGTGGAGGTCTCTGGGTAATACACGCCAAGCGCTCAGCACAGCACCCAGCCAGCCCATAATAAGCACTCCGTCCCTGTGAGCTCTGCCTCTTAGAACTAACATAAAGAGTGAGGACAAAGACCCCAGCACCTGGGAGACAGTGAGAATCCCGCCTGCAGGGAGGGAGGCTGGGAAGGCTTCCCAGAGGAGGCGACCTATGAGTTGGGCTCTGTGGGATGAGTAGGAGCTTCGTGGGTCAGGTCACTGAGGAATTTGGTGCAGCAATTATCTGCGTGGTCTAGGCGGCATGGGGGTGCCAAAAAGGATGGTGAGACTCAGGATCAGGCCGTGGCTAAGCCGCTTTTCTGCAGGGAGCAGGTGAACCTTCTGGTGCTCAGGGCAGGGAARCTGCTCCCCAGGTACAGGACTCCCTGGGGGGGCTGTGACCACGGTGTGCACCCAGGCTGAAGGCGGAGGTGGGAGGTGCCTCGGCAAGTCCCTGCACAGTTGTTGGTGGCAGGCCAGCTGGATGGGTCCCATCGAGGACCGATGCCTCTGAGCTGTAGTTGAAAAGCCCAAYGTCCCCAGGCTTTGTCCCCACGTGCACTCTGGTCTTCCCCAGTGACACTCACCGTCACCTCCTGGGCGTGCACATCACTTTATGCCCCATGATGAAAACTGTCCCAGAGAACTCATGGCTGCTCCCACTGCAGCTTCCACGTCCCCAGTGCTGTCCCCTCCCCTGCCGGCTGGGTCACCGCTGCCAGCACCCGTCCATGCTGAATGCCCAGATCCCCATGCGACAAAACTGTTCAGATGAACCAGGGAAGGGCTCGTGCCACCTGMGGGGTCCTGGAGAAAGGCCACAGACATCCCCTGAGCAGTGGCTCTCGAAGCCTTAGAGCTTAAGAGCCCAAGAGCAGATGGTCACTGTGTCGTTTAATGACATGTGACGTCCACTTCTGTGATTTTGCCCTTTCTTGGCAAGAAAAGCCCTGGAGGGACCTTGCCTTCCACAGAACCACAGGTGCGACCCCTGCCCCCAGCCAGCAGCTTCCACCGGCCCCACCTGRGCCCCAGGTGTCACTCTCGTGAGCTGGCTTCACAGTCGGTCCCCTTCAGGTTCATTCAGRAAAATGGAGTTTGGAAAACACCCAGCTTTTTAAATCAGCCTGGATCCTGTTCYCCAGGAGACTCACTCCCCAGCCCCCGCCCATCTGCCGGCAGCAGCGTTAGGACAACCTTTAGTCCTCCGTGGGCCTGACCCTATTTTATAGGTGGGAGGACTGAGGTTCTGTGGGGCCATGTGACCAGGCCAAGCCACGTGGGCTTTTGAAGATGCTGAGGCTACAGGTCCTGGTTCTGTCYGGCCTCTTCCAAGGTCTTGCATCTGGTTACCCAAAAATCATGCATCTTTTTTCTTTTTTTAAAATACATATGTATTTTTAGTTGTGGATGCACCTTTATTTACTTTTGTGTGGTGCTGGGAATCGAACCCTCACACATACTAGGCAAGCGCTCCACCTCTGAGCCATGACCCAGCCCCAAATCATGCCTCTTTATTTGCAAAATAAATGTCCCTGTGGACAGGATTAGAGGCCRGCAGGTCCATCCTGGCTGGCACCACTCGGCCTCCTATGGGGACCGGGCTCCCGGGGAGCCCTGCAGGCTCAGCCAGGGAGGGGCAGGACCCAGCCCAGGGTCCGTGGGAGGCAGGGACAGCAGAGGCACAGGCTGCTGAGAACCAGGGCCCTTGTCTGCCCGGGAAGTTCCCGGGATTGCAACATGTGAGACAGCCGCACACGCCCTGTCCCAGAGCACCGCCGAGGGGGGACTTGGGGACTCTCCACGAGCCCAGCTGGGGAGGTTCTCACGATAGGACAGGCGGCCAGGCCCSGGATGGACACAGGGTGACCTTGGTGATGAGGTCACGTTGGAAACAGGCCTCCATCCTCCAAATGCCATGGTGTCCCCAGCYRACCTTGTCCCCTGCRGCCYCTCCCTCTGCCTTCTCCCATCCTGYCCTGGCCGTCGGGGAGGACCCCCACTACCCAGCCTCTCCTCCGGGACCCTCACGGTCTGGACAAATCCTGCTCTGTGAATTCCGGCCGCCCCGACCCCGTCCAGTCCCCTTGTTTTCACCTCAGTTATCAGCGGGGACTGAGACCTGGTTTTATTTCTCTGGGCCTCAGTTTTCTTGTCTGTGAAATAGGTTAATGTCAGTCCCCGCCTCACAGATGGGTGTGAGATTTGAAGGGAGCAGTGCACCCGGAACCCTGTGCAGACRCTCCATGAAAGTCCCTGCTGCACCTGCCCCCYGCCCCCTGCCAGGGAACTCCATCCTGGAGGTGGGGGTCCCGGTCTTGAAAGCACTTTGAGTCACTTACTGCCYTCAGTCAGCTCATGACCAGTGGGACCAGCAAAGAGATGGAGATAAAAATGGCCCTGAGGGTCCTAGTGGGTCCCCTCCTAATTCAGAGATACTCCTAGGCAGTCACTTGAGCACCAGGTGTTTCTCAGGGACAGTCCCATAGCCCAGCTGTTCAGCTCCACRCTCTGGGCAGTTTTTTGGCATCCACGCTGCAGGGCAGGGCTCTGTCTGCTTCCTGCCTGCTGGTGGCATCCACGTATMAGATCTGAAGAAGAACAGGTTGGAGCTGGGCGCGGTGGTGCACGCCTGCAGGCCCAGAGGCTCAGGAGGCTGAGGCAGGAGGATCGTGAGTTCAAAGYCAGCCTCAGCAAAAGTGAGGTGCTCAGCAGCTCAGTGAGACCCTGTCTCTAAATAAAACACCAAAAGGGGCTGGGGAGTGGCTCAGTGGTCGAGTGCCCCTGAGTTCAATTTTTGCTACCCAAAACAAGAAGCTGCCCTCTCCCATGGTGGTCAGGAGGGGGCGCTCACCTGCCTCATGCCCACCTCTGCTGATCTCCACGCAGAGCAGCCTCATGGGAACATCCCAAAGTCCCTGAGGGCGGAGGTGGGGAAACCGAGACAGAGGTGACGTGCGGTGACTGCAGAGCCAGGGTTTGGCTGGGCCCCAGCTATTCTGTGACAGCCAGAGAAAGGCCAGTTCCTCCCTGTCTCCTCGTTGCTCACCATCTGGAAGCCAGGCCTTCCACACAGGCTGTCAGGCAGGGCAGGGGGTGGCAGCTCTCCGTGGCCCGGGCCACATGGACACCTGGCTTTGCTGTGGACTTGGCAGCAGGGTGGTGATCCAGCTCCCCCTCTCAAGGACACTTACTGTCCCCAAAGTGCCCTGGCCAACAGGTCAGAGCCAGCTTGGGGCAGCTGCTCCTGCTGCTGGCTTTGCCTGAGGGCTGGCTGGCTGGGGACTGGCCGCAGGGGAGCCTGGACCACGGCAGAGGCTTTGCCTTCAGTACAGACAGCTAGCCAGGGTGGGGGTCGGCCTGTCTGTGCCTCAGCAGCTGTGACCGCCTCTTATAGATGGGAAGCCCAGACCCTGTGAGGGAGACCACCTCCCAGGGCAGTTATTTTCTCATTTATTCATTTAGTCCTTCATTCACTGAAAAAAAAAAAAAAAATACTGGTCATCTCCCAGGGACCTGTCCCAGTCTCCCAGCTACTTGGTGGAACATTCGAACCCGGCACTTCCCCACAGCAGAGCTGGGCTGGCCTCCTGCCAGGGCCTCCCCACTTCTCTGTCTGTCCAGGGCCCAGGAGTGCTCCACCCTGGTGGTGACCTGCCGCGCCCTCTCTGGCTCCCCCTCCCCAGGAGAGCGAGGACGCGGTCAAGGCCCTGGCCAAGGAGAAGGACCTCCTGGAGCGAGAGAAGTGGGAGCTGCGGCGCCAGGCCAAGGAGGCCACGGACCACGCTGCCGCCCTGCGCTCCCAGCTGGACCTCAAGGACAACCGGATGAAGGAGCTGGAGGCCGAGCTGGCCATGGTGAGTCCTGCCACCTGGGTCCCCGGGTGTTGGGGGGAGTGATGGACCCGCAGCCCAGGCCAGTGGAGTGGCCTTGGCAGAGGGAGGGGCCCAGGGCCGCAGCCCCCAGAGCTTCCCTCCAGGACCACCTGGCCCAGGGGGCGGGGCTGCCTTCCAGGGGGCGGGGCTGCCTTCCAGGGGGCGGGGCTGCCTTCCAGGGGGCGGGGCTGCCTTCTAGGGGGCGGGGCTTGGAAGACTCACTTCCTTACCCCTGGCCACTGCTAGAAACAGTATCTTTTTGTTATTTTTCTTGGTTCAAAATGAATATTTAGGGGCTGGGGTTGTGGCTCCACGGTAGAGTGCTCGCCTCGCACGGGCGGGACCTGGGTTCGATCCTCAGCACCACATAAAGATAAAGGCATTTTATTTGTCCATCTACACCTAAAAAATGAATATTTAAAAAATATATATATATTTAGTTTATGTATTATTTATGATATGAATATAAAATAATACATATATTTATTTATAAGATACAAATATAAAACATTTAAGTTTCTATACTTCATAAATAAACAAAACATTTCATATTTCATACATACACAAAACACGGTGTATTCGTAAGTAGCTCCGGGGCAGGGCATACATCAAAACCGTCCATCATCCCGGGGCGGTAGGTTGGCACATGGTGTTTGTCTGTGACCGTCTTAGGTGTGTGCAACAAAATTATCTTGGGTCATCAAGGGGAAAAAAATTTTTTTTTCTAATCCTAAACAAACTCTTTAAATAATGCCGAAAATTTTGTGGTTTGAGAAGGTCCCCAGGGCATGGGGTCTGGGGGCAGAGTGGCCAGGCTGGCCGTGGAGCCCAGGCCCGAGCCCTGCCCTCCGTGCTGCCTGCCCCTGAGCGCTACCAGCCGCTCCCTGGGCTTGGGGGCCTTCCCGTTGCTGGGCCAGGTGGGGGTCTTGCCCTCCCTGCCTTCCCCACAAGGTGGCTGGGTAAATCCTCAGAGCACGCGGCCAGAAGGGCCTTTGAAAGCCACCAGGGCTGCTGGTGGCCAGGTGCAGGCTGTCGGGGGCTCCTGGGAGGGGGCCACAGGACTCTCTAACAGCCACGTCCTCCTGCTGAGTGCCAGCACCAGCTGGGGTGAGGTCATAGCTGTGGGWTCTGGGCTCCAGTCTGCCCCTGTTGCTCCCTAGCTGTGTGTCCTTGGCAGGCTTCCTTACCTCTCTGAGCCTCACTATCATCAGCATAATTAGAGATAACATGGGGCGCTGGTGAGGATGTCAGTGGGATAATGGAAGGCAACCAGCTTAGGGTCCTGGTTGGGTGATGGTTTCYTATAAGTCACTTGCTTCAGGATGAGGCAATACAGGCCGCGCAGGCYCCTGGCACCTCCCCTGGGTCTCCTTGTCCAGTGCTGACCCCTAGTGGTGAGGGGCATGCAGGCCAGGAAGAAGCTGCAGGAAGAAGGTGCAAGTGACGCCCTGTTCTCCCAGGTCCTGCCCTGCCCTGCAGGGGGACAGCAGAGGTGTGGCTTGTGGCCTTGGCACCTCAGGCACCCAGGAGGCTGCGCCCTGGGTCTTTGTGGGCTGGAAGGCAGCTCAGCCACTCCCTGGGCCCAGCCACTCACTGGCAGGGCCCCAGGCTCTTGCCCCCTCCTGTAGGCACCTCCCTCTCTGGCCCTGCGGCTCAGCAGGGGTTTGTTGTAACCAGGCACCCAGGGGCAGGGGGAGGGGCTTCACCGGAGCCACAGGGCCCAGGTGTTGCTGGGGCATGTCTGCCCGTGCAGGGCCCCTCTGTCACTCACCACCTGCAATCTCACAGCCAGGACGGCTGCTCAGGCCCAGCCCCCAGCAGACCCGGGTTGCAAGCACCAAGCAGCTCAGGCTGGCCAAGCCCCGGGGTGTCCTGGAAGTCGGGATCCCGGGAAGGTGGGGGGCGGGCTCAGAAGTCGGCAAAGCCCAGGCCGCCTCGGGGCTGGAGAGCCAGGGCTCCGGGCCCCGGTGTCCAAATGGCCCATCTTGGTCTCTTTGGCACCTTGGCTGGGATGCTGTTGTGRGAGCTGGTCAAGAAGCAGCAGGCAGCCCTGGGAGGGCAGGAGGACAAACGTCACTTCATGCCAGCAGGCCCAGGGGGGACAGACTCCAAATGCTGAGCCCAGATCCACAGATTCTYACGACACTTAGAGGTGATCTGCCTCCTCTTGGACCCAGCCTGTCACTGGGCTTTTCCCTCTTTTTGAAAACGTTCCCACTCTGTGGCTGCAGGCCTGTGCAGGGTCCCTAACATGAAGCCTGCTCACAGAAGCAGAGAAGAGAGAAGAGGGGCAGTCCTCACAGGCACCTGTGGCATTTCCGGGGCAGCAGCCAGATCCCAGGGCAGCTGTGTCCAGTCCAGGAGGCAGGGCCCAGGTTCACAGGGCCTCCTGGACAAGGCTGAGAGGGGAGCTGACCCTCCCCCGGGCTTTGGTGTTGCCTTAGTGTTTCTCTGATCTCGTTTCACACCCAGGCCTGGCTTGGCCACCGTGCGCTGTCCTGGGTGATTTCATAAGTGACCCTGAGGCGCTGCCACAGAGCTGGGYAGACAGAGTCCCCCTGCCCCGGGCACTGAGGCTGCCGGGAAGCAGGGTACTGGGAGGGGCYGGGCCTCATCTCCTCAGGGGTGTCCAGGCCAGTGAGTCCAGGCCCCGGCCGTCACACGTCCTGGAGCAAGGAGAAGCCAGAGGGAGCCCGGGTCACAGAGAACTCGCCCCCCACCTGCCCGGGGCCCCGAAGCAGGGAGCAGCTCTTGTGTCCCATGACGGCTCCAGGCAGGGCCTCCCACSGCACTGTTGACACTCAGGCCAGGTGGCTGTGTGGTGAGGTGTCCCCTGCGCTGCAGGATGTGGAGCGCCACCCCATCTCCACCCACCACCTGCCACACTTGGTCTGGAGACCAAAAAAATCTCCAGACATTGCCAATTGCCCCCCGGAGAGTGAAATCACCCAAGTTGAGAATCGGCCTCCCACAGAGTCAGATACTGTTCCCAGAGTCAAGCATCCGTGACGGCTGAGCCTGGCGGTTCAGGTCTGATAGAGGCCCAGCTTCAGGCCTGTCCTTTTCCAGCTGTGTGACCTTTGGCAAGAGACGAACCTCTCTGAGCCCCATTCCCTCCTGTATGGAACTGAAACCATGCAGACCTTCCTCCCAGGCTTTGTGCAGAGACCCAGACGCTGGGTGAATCGGGCAGGCACTGGAGACCTCAGTCAACCGGAGCCGTCATTCCCTGAGCTCGTCCTAGACCTGGCCCCATCCTGACTCCCCAGGGCTGAGCCAGGGGTTCCTCATCGTCACTGTGGACCATCCCTTCCAACCTCTCCGGGCCTCAGTTTCCTCACCTGTCAAAACGACCTTCGCCACAGGCCAGGAGAGCCGGGAACGCAGAGGGCCGGGGGGAGGCGGGCGGCTGAGCCTCGCACCCCCTTCAAGGGTGGCACTGCCCCAGCACTCAGCTCTGAGGCCATCGCCTGTCCCTCAAGCTCCACCTCCAGGCCCTGGCCACTGCCTCCCTGGACTTCCCGGCAGCCCTCTGCGGGGCCAGTTCCCGGCCTTGGCCTCATCCTGAGGGTCCACCGTCCCCCCGGGTAGAGTYGTCCATTGTGGCACAAGGGCACTGGGCCGTTCTGCAGCCCGGCCGCGCGGGACCCACCAGGACATGAGCCTGCGGGGTTCGCCCAGGGTCCCACCGCCCTGTCTCCCCCTCTCTCTCCAGGCCAAGCAGTCCTTAGCCACGCTGACCAAGGACGTCCCCAAGCGGCATTCACTCGCCATGCCGGGCGARACGGTGCTCAACGGCAACCAGGAGTGGGTGGTGCAGGCGGACCTCCCGCTGACCGCGGCCATCCGCCAGAGCCAGCAGACTCTCTACCACTCACACCCGCCCCACCCTGCGGACCGGCAAGGTGAGTCCTGCCCGGCGGCCCAGYGTAGCTCCCAGGGGCTTCCCAGGAGGCCACCGTACCCAGTGGGTGGGACAGTCTCTGATCACAACCTGGGACGATGGCGGGCCCAGATCCTTTGGCTCTGGACACTGAAAAGGCCAAGAGGTGGACTGCAGGCATAGCTGGATCCAGAGGTTCAAGCCAAAGCCGACTCTGACCCTTTCTTTCCATCTGGGGGCCCTGCCCACTTGCACTTGGCCTCATTTTTAGAGATCCTCTTCCTGCAAAGTGGCAAAACAGGCTGCTCCCATAAAATGAGTAGCTTGTTGTTAAGTGTTTCGCTCTTTGCTCTTCCAGCCGACTTTAAATTCCAGATCTCAACTCAAAAGCTGGAAAGTGAAAAAAGGAAAAAATAGAAGAGTGTATGTCAGATCTCAGAAGTAGCGAATCGTCATCAGGCTGGTCCTGATTTTTAACCCGTCTGAACCGTCACACTCCCAGTTAGATGRGTCCCTCCCTGGGTCGCCGCGCGTGAGGGCAAACGGTAGGCGCCAGAGCTCAGGCGTCCCATCCGAGAGACTCTTCTCCCAGTAGCCACATCCAGCTCCAAAGAAAGAGTCTGATTGGCGGCCAGGGCCACACGCCCAGCCCTGAGCSCTTCCCTGTGTGTGGGGACACAGGTCCCCGCTGGCTGGCCTGGTCACACAGGCGTCCGCAGAGCTCCCTGATTGACAGCTCAGCCACCCACCGGGCCAGCGGGAAGGCCAGGGGCAGGCTCAGACACCGCAGGGGCCTGGCGTTGGGCAGCGACTGCGCCCACTGCCCGTGGGGGAGGCTGTGCCTCRTCACCAAGAGCCTGTCTCCATGCTCTGTCCCTCCTGAGCAGCTGCCCTTATGTGACAGGCACAGGCTGGGAAAGACAGCTGCTGGCAGCGGGGACCCTCCGGGACTCCCTGTGCCGTGGGCAGGGTGCGCCCTGGAGGCTGTGGGCAGCGCCGGCCTCTGGAGCTGGCCTCTGGAGCTGGCGGGAGTCACGAGGCTGGGCCCTCCGGGGGCTGGTGGTTGGTGGGGGAGGCACCGTGGGCCCTGCGTCCTACCGTGAGGGCAGGTGAGTCCCCAGTTGGGGGGCACAGGCTCGGGGTTCACTGTGGGGTTCAAATCCTGTTCCCTGCTGCTTCCCGGGGACCTGACCGTGACCTTGGCCAGGTCCTGGGCTTCCACATGGAAGGGGTGTCCGGTCCGTGGTGCCCAGTGTGTATCCACGTCGGCACCACACTGGGTTGTCGTGAAGGTGGGACATACGACAATCCTGAAAGGGGCCTGGGGAGCTYGGAGCTGCTGTCCTCGGCAGGGACTTGGTCGTCATCGTGAGGGACAGGTGACGCGCAGGACTTTAGAACCCTGAGCGGAAACTAACCCCGAGTCCTCCCTCCACTCTCTGACCCAGGGAGGGGCGACTCTGGGGGGACAGGGTGGGGGCTCTGTCCTCTGGAGCCGGCAGAGCTTCTCGTGAACCTGCTGTGGTCCGGCCCCTGCCAGTTAGGGAGACCGGGACCCCAGAGGGCTGCCCCGTCCCTCCTCGCCGCCCAGGTTCAGGGCAGGGCTGGGAGCGGGGCGACCTGAGCCGTGACCACGGCGGCTCATGACGGCTGCTCGTCTGGGGTGGGCTGGACGGGCCACGGGTCTGCAGCAGCAGGACTGTCATTCAGCCACTCTGTGGGAGAGCTGCCTGCACCCCACTGTACGGAGGACAGAACTGGCCCAGGGAGGGTGGACAGCACGCCCGAGGCCCACAGCCCCGAGGATGAACTCACTAAATAGGAACAGATTCGAATCACGCACCCCCAGCACCCGTCTCCCTACTAATGTGTGAGGGGTCACTGGGGRCAGGGACTGTCTTCAGGAAGGGCAGCGCATAGTAGGCACCTGTGTTAACAGAAAACCCTCCCCACAGTGCTGCCCCCGCAGACAGGAGAGCAGGCTGCTGGGGGTCCTGGGAGGGCTTCCCGGCTGTAGCTTCTGATGGGCCTTTCATGCCTCCACTGTTTATTGAGCACCTACTGTGTGCCAGGCACCGCGAGCTCTGGGATTGACTGGGGATGAGCGACCCAGGTGCCTGCGCTCTCGGAGCCCACACTGTCCRTGTGAAGACCCCAGCCCCTAGGATGCTTGCAGATTGGAATTGGCACCCAGACAGGGGGTGTCAGGGGAAGGACGCTGCAGGGGAAGTGAGACTGGGGACTCCTGGGATTGCTGGCAGGACAGTGACAGGCAACGGGATCCGCAGAGGCTGGGGCAGGAGGCAGACAGGGAGCCGCAGGCCAGGCTGGAAGAGCATGATTGGAACACAGTGACGGGAAGCCCCTGAGCCCAGGCCGCCGGGGGACAGGGTCTCCCCACGTGATGCTCAGAGACCAGAGGGGAGATGCCTGTGGCTCTGGCTGCAGGAAGAGGAGTGGAGGCAGGGAGGCCCAGGGGGAGGCCAGAGCCCAGAGGGGCAGTGGTTCCTCTGGGGTGGGAGGGAAGTGGATGGGGCTGTTCCGGGCCCTGGTCGTGATGTGTGGGGGTGGGGGAGAGGACTTGGTGGGGGCCTCGGGACAGGACTGGGGTGTGGGGTGGAGCAGCCATTGGTGGTACTGGGTCTGGGACGGTCCAGGTGAGACCTGCTGGCCGAGGGGGAGGGAACAGGAGGCTGTGGAAGAGGGAGGAGCCCGGCGAGACCGCACCTTCCTGGCCTCAGCGCCCCCTCTGTGCCGGGCGCGGGGTGGACTCGCCTGGGCCGCGCCCACTCACAGCTGCCCTCCTTTCCAGCGGTCAGGGTGAGCCCCTGCCACTCGCGGCAGCCTTCCGTCATCTCGGACGCGTCGGCTGCGGAAGGTGACCGGTCGTCCACGCCCAGCGACATCAACTCCCCGCGACACCGGACGCACTCCCTCTGCAACGTAAGGCCAGCCGCCGGGGGCCGGGGCGCCTGGGCCCTGCCCACGGGAGGGGCGGGGACAGCGCTGTTTCCTCTCGTCCCCGCAGGGAGCTCTGCGGCGAGCAGTGGTGGATGTGGGGACACAGAATGAGGCCCGTTGGCTCCTGGTGTCCGGGAGGGTGAGGAAAACCCCGAGGAAGGCAGGCCGGTCCGCAGGGTCTGTGCAGCTGCGTTCCTCGCGGTGGGCCGTYGGGTCGGCCTGCGGGGCCAGGGCTTCCCTCCCAGATCTTGCTCTGCAGAACGCAGGGCCTCACCAGAACCCATGCTCCCCCGAGCACCAGCTCATCCTTCATCCAGGAATGGAGCCAGGCTATTTAGGTGCTTTTGTTTTTGAACCTCTAATCGTTTGAACATGTACTGCCCCTGGAGGGGCGTCCTGTGAATGTGTTTAACTTGTCTAATCAAACACTGCAGACTGGGCCCAAGTCCCTGACCATCTCTTGATGGTGGGGCAGGCATCTGGGCTCTGGGATGGTCTGCTTTCTGTGACTATAACAAAATACCCGAGGCTGGGTTACTTACAAAGAAAAGAGGTTGACTTAGCTCACAGTTTTGGAGGCTTGAAAATCCACATAGCTTGGGGCCAGCTTTGGCAAGGAGCCCCCCTCCCGCTCCTCCATCTGTATCACATCATGGCTGATGGCATCATGGGCAGGAGYGCATGCAAGAGGGAGATCAGGGTCTCGGGGTCAGGAGGCAGGAAGCCATGGCAGGGAGGGGCAGTCTTGCTCTCAAGGACTCTTTACTAGGTGCCACAACCTCACGCATCGCCACACTGGGGACCAAGCTTCTGACAGGTGAACCCTCAAGGGCACACTTGAACCACAGCCCAGCCCAGCACTTTCCCGAGCCTGAAGGAGTGGACGGAGGGRTCTGTCATCTTAGGATGTCCAGAAGCCACACTGGGGCCCTAACACGATGCAGGGGGTCAGGGTGCGGAGACCCCTGGGGATTTTGGTTCCTTCACACGTCTGTGACCCAGAAAGCCCCCTCCCTGTCCTGAAGACAGAGACACCATGGGGAGAAGTCTCCAGATGCACAGGAAGCCTTCTTCAAAACCTGCTTTGTTAACCCACTAAGCACAAGGAGGAGAGGAGGCGGACACGTTGGGCAACAGACAGGCGTTGCCCGCTGACSATGGGACCGTCCCCTGGGGCTGGAGCTTGGCCTGAGAGGCCATCGAGCTCAGGAGCAAGTGCAGGCGGTGTGGTTGGAAGTCGTTTATGGCAACCAGTGACTTYCCCCCGTGAGCGTGGTCCTGGTGGACAGAGGCTGCCCGTCCACAACAGCAATGAAAAGCACTTGCAGAAACAGCAGGAGCGGAAACGAAGCCGGCTGGGCCTGGAGACGGGGCCGGGGCAGCACGTGMGGCAGGGCGTGGGGCTGGGATGCGTTCTCCTCTTGTCCCCAGAAAAGAATCCTGGTGACAAAGGCTGTCTTGAGCRACAGAACCAAGGCAAAGACAGCAGGCACTCAGGGCCCTGTGACGTCCATCTCTGGCCCCTGGGCAGCCAGGCCTGGAGCCAGAGCCCCGTCCTTACACACAGGTCGACCCCATAGCATCCATCACCTCCTGCATGACAGCACCTTCCCACGGCCGTATTTAAAATTCTCCTGGTGGACCCAAGGGGGACTGGACAGCAGAAGCGCTGCGGGACATCCCCTCCCCGAGGGCTCTCTGAGGCCTCCTGACACGCTGTGGACACAGCCAGCCTTCCGCTTGGAGACCCAGGAGGCCCCTGCGCTCCCTGGACCTGCATCAGCAGGACAGCAGACAGGACCAARGACCGCCTCGTCCTCTCACACTCTGGCCACTGACTTAGAACAGAGGCAGGGACTTGGCACCGAGAGCCTGGAGGAGGCTGATGGACGCTGGCCCAAGTGACACTCGCTTGTTCCTTCCTGGGCCTCGTGGCTGAAGTCAAGACCCGAGTAGTGAYGTGGTCGGGCACATGATCTGCTGGCCCAGCAGGGCAGCGAGGGTCTGGGATGCGGCAGAGGCTTTCGCACATCCAGACTGTGACAAGTCCCCTCCCCACACACACACACCTGGAGCAAGACTGGTGACAGTGGAAATGTCCCCCTGCCCTTCCCCAGGAACAAGGAGGAGCTCAGACCCATGGGTAGAGCYCAGGGGCCCAGGCTCGGGGCCAGGTGTGCGGTTGCCCACCAGGAGCCCTGGGCTAGGAGGACTCAGACCGTCCCTGGTAGGAGGTGTAGCTCTGCCGGTCATCGGGCCCGTGACGCTGGACTGTCGGGGCCTTTCCTTGTATCTGTAGACTGGGCCGAGTCCCGCCCACCCCTCTGCAAAATCACAGATTCCTATCTGGGGGAAGCTAGCAGCGACCTAGTCTCTCTCTTCATTATCACGCCTTTCCTACAACAGTAGATTTCTCTATGAAAACCACCCAGTAGGACCGACCTCTGGTTCAAACACAGTGGACCAGCCAGGCCAGGGATGCAGACGCCCTTGAGCAGCTGATTTGCTGGTCAGAGGGTGCTGGGGGTGGGGGAGGCCAGAGTTGGTGAACGCTGGGCCCCGTYAGTGAGCCCTCTGGGAACGTCAGCTTCAGGAGGTAGGGGCAGGCACCCCACTCCAGAGGCAAGGTGGACCCTGGGGTGGCTTCTTCCACGGAAGGCCCCACGGGCCACCTGTGCCCCCGTGTGTCATCTGAACCTGCCAGTTCATCCTCCTCTTCTCCTTTGGCTGTAGGGCGACAGTCCCGGCCCAGTTCAGAAGAACCTGCACAACCCTATTGTACAGGTAGGCACGGCTTCCCGGCACCGCGTCCCCCACATCCCCTCCTGAGCGCGACCTCATCCCTCCCTCCTGCTGCCCATCGTCCCTGTGGCCATTCTGGGGCTTCCAAAACGGAGTCACTCTGAGTCTCACAAGGGCTGGCACCYGGACCGCCTCTGCTGTGCCTCCCCCCAGACCTTCAGACCTACTATGCACCCAGCGTCCCTGTGTCCTGCTGCCCAGGCCAGCACCTTCCCCTGGGTTTGGGGGCCCTGTGCTGCTAGAAAATTTATCCATTCTTAGTTTCAACATGTCGTCAGAGGGGAACAGGCTACAAGGAAAACGGTCTGAATCTGGGGGTCAGCRGGGGCCTCCAGGTCACCTCTCTGGTCCTGTGGCCCCCTTATGCTGGTCTTTGCCCTGCCCCTCTGCACTGGGGTTCTCTAGGGAAAGCGGTTCAAATGCAGGTTCCTTGGCGGGAGGCGGGGTCTGGACTCCAAGGCGTTCTGAAGTGTTCTGGGAGCCCGGTCCCCACGGGCCTGTTTGTGGACGTGCCACCCCACGTCTTTGTCTAACGCCCTGGGCAGTCTGCAGACCTCCTGCTGACCCACCCCCTGCCCTGCAGTCCCCGTTAGGAGGGTTGCCACCCCTGTGGCCATCCCCACATCAGAGACAGGAAACTGGGCTCAGAGGGGCTGGGTGCCCCGCATAGTTCCAAAGGGAGGGACAAATTAGGACCCGCCTTTAGCCCCAGCCCCTCCCTGATCCCCAGCGGCCAGTCCTGCTTCCTGTCCAGGGCTCTTGGGCGCGGGTGGCTGCCTCTGCCCACTCCTGGGCAGGTTTGCCCCGCGTCTCCCAGAATCTCCCGYCCCCTTCCATGTACACAGGGGGCCCCGGGCACTGCAGCACCGGCTCCCAGGCCCCCGGACTGACCCGGGCAGGGGTCCAGCTTTCCACGCCAGGGGGCCGTGGGCAGATTTAAAGAACAAGACAACCAACGCAGCTCCTGATTTATTCAATGCCGTCCTGGCTTCAGGGGTGCCCTGGAGACCATCCTGGGTGGGTCATATTGTCCCCAGGAGGCTCCAAAAGGCCCAGGCTTGCTCAGTGGGTGAGGCGCCGGCACTGTCATTCTGGTCCCCAAGCCCAGCTTCTGACTGCCCTTGTCCAGTCCCTGCCCCTGCCCCTGCCCGCTGGCCTGAGCAGTGCCCACGGGCTAAGCTTCTCTCTGCTCTTCTCCCCTCTCCCCCGTCCCCCAGTCACTAGAGGATCTTGAAGACCAAAAACGGAAAAAGAAGAAAGAGAAGATGGGATTCGGCTCCATCTCGCGCGTCTTCGCCCGAGGGAAGCAGCGGAAGTCCCTCGACCCCGGCCTCTTTGATGGTACCGCCCCTGATTATTACATAGAGGAGGACGCGGACTGGTGATGCCCGCCGGGCGCCGGGCTGTCTGTGCGTGTGGACGTGCGGGCGGGCGGGGGGTGCGCCGCGGGCGCAGTGCGCAGCGCGGGGCTGCGGCCGGGCCTCCCGCGCCTCTGTAATTGATGTACATACCGCAAACCGTGTGTGACCCTGTCAACTGTCCTCTCCGGAGCGAGGCCGTCGTGTTTGTTAATCTGTTTTTGTTTTTGTTTTTTTTTCCATGTTGGTTTGTTCTTTCGTTTTATTTTTTTCCTTCGGTTCGTGGGTTTCCCTCCCTTTCTCCTCCCCTCCTTTTTAATGAAACTTGAAAACTTGAAGGATTGCTATGTATTTGTAAATAACACGACTATTGTGCACTCCGTGCTTGTACATGTCGCTGTCCTAACCACCGCTCCGGAGCCCGTCTCCCCGAGGGTGTGGTCTGTGTCCTTGTCCCCTCCCCTGACCCCCGTGTCCACGTGCAGGACCAGACCCTGTCCTCGGGGTGCGCCCAAGTCACTTTAGCCACAGAATGCCATCGTCGTCAGGGTAAGGTCGCTCTCCGTCAAGGCTCCCGAGCCCGCCGGCCAGGGCGCCTGGGTCAGGGGCTCCGGGGTCCGGTGGGCCCTTTTTAATGGCCTGCCTGTTTTTAAATTGCGTTGCGTTTCTTTCTTTACGGAAAAAAAAGAAAAAGAAGAGGAGATCGTTTGGTTTAATTTATTTGCACAAATGCAGAAGACAGAATATTCTATCTAAATTATTACGTAAATATTGGGGTGTATATTTTTCCACGGGGCGGGGCGGGCGGGGGTCTCTGTGACTTGTCTGTTCTCTGTTCATGCTGCTGCCAAGCCGCCAGCCGGTCCAGGTAGGGTGCAGGTGGCTAGACCCAGGACCACCCGGTTCAGCTTGCTATTCCTCCTCTGTCTCCCCCCTCTCCTGGCTGCATGCAGGGCCTGGGCCGCCTCCCACCTCCTCCTCAGCCTCCCCTCTGTGTGTATCTGAGTACAGAACCCGGCCTCCGTGAGCTGTCACCATCCCCTCCTCTTGGGCCTGTCTTTTGAGAGAGGGTGAAGCCAGAGAGAGAGAGCCCGGGGCTCGTCCCCAGGGTCAACCAAAGGGACCCTGGGCCTGCRTGGGTTCCCCAAGGGGCCCCTGCAGCACCTGCTCCTCCCAGGCTGTCTCTCACCCTGAGTTTATAGACCAGGCAGGTGGAGGGCTGTCGGGGACATGGTGTCCAGCCCTGAGCCCTCTGCCCTGCCCTTTCCTGTTGGTCCCTGCAGCCACACTTAGGATCTCTGAGGATTCCTAAGACTCAGTCTCCAGCTTGCCTGACCCCTCCTCCCAGGAGTGGAGGGCTGGCAGGAGCACCCGCCTGTCTGGGGACTAGCACTGGCCACAGCGAGGTGTCACCAGCCAAGGGGACCCCGCTGTGGGTTCCAACGGGGGGCGGGGAAAATGGGTGCTTGCAGCCAGGCCCACCCCGCGCTGGAAGTCCACCTCTCCTCTCCCTGGCCCTGGCCCTGGCCCCTGGCCCTCCACCTTCATGACTAACAGCTCGGTCACTGTGCAGACCACGTCGTGGYGCTTCTGCTAACAGTAACGTCTCAGCTCTTAGAAAGCAGCAGGGAGGGTCTCAAATGCTGGAGCATCTGGAATGGACGGGGCATTTTGTCCAGAGTCTCTAAAACCAACCGAGAAGCCCCCAGTCAGCTTCCCCTTGCCCTCCGACCCCGGCCAGGCGTGGGGAGAGGTGGGCACCGTGCCTCTGGGCTCTGGCTGCCCTCGTGGGCTAAGCTGTTGACCGAGCCCATTGGGAGGGAGAGCGGCTGGAGCTGGCATCATAGAGATTTTAGAGAATATTTCCCCATGATTATTTTTTGTTATTGTTGATTTTTACGGCTTTTCCCCTTTACTTACAAGAACATCAGATTGCGAACTCCTGGTAATGATTTAGTAGTTCCTTTTCATTTCAGATTTTTGTAAATTAGGAGATAATTCTAAGAGTTACTAAGGATGATTTATTTAAGAGAACTACGTCAAATAGCAAATGAGTTATGGGCTACGTTAGATGAAAACGAGCTTTCCCGTGGGAAAGGTTCTCCAAGGCATGGATGCAAATATAAAATATTAAAAAAACCTAAATAAAGCTTATTTTAAAATATGATGGAATTCTATGTTATTTGAGTGCTTCGATGTTGCTCCGGGTGGGAGGCTGTGCCCCACTGGGGAGGCCCAACCCAGCACCACCTTCTCCTGGGAACTCCAGGGCTGGGTCCTCAGGGGGACGGGGAGGGGCCGAGGAAAGCTGGCTGGACTCTGGGCCCGCGGAGGGGCYGAGCCCGGGTGGCCTCCCAGAGACACCTGGCCTTGCCGCCCACCTGTAACTTGGAGGAGCGGTCGGCACCCAGGGCCGCCCCGTGGTCCTGACCAACACCTCCGTGCCCAGCACCCTCAGCTTTCATCTGCTTCCTCCCATCCCGGGCCCAGAGAGGGGGCCTGCGACCCCGGGGCATGTTACTTGCTGCGGGCCCCAGCRGGCCTCTGCCCCATCCCAGGTCCCCCCTCCCTGGGGACAGAGAGTAGCTTAAGGGCAAGTGAGAGGCCACGGGACTTCCTCGGCTGAAGCCAGAGTGCGCCGGGCTTTCTGAGCCCCATGAGGTCCCCAGGTCTCCCCCCTGAGAGACCCACTGTGTGTCTCAGGAAGGGGCCACCTGATAACCCAAACCTGACTACAGCCAGGGCTCTCAACCTCCACCTCCCACCTGGAAAAAAAACATTCTCCCCACAATCAGACGGATGGGTTCCCGGGGCGTTAGCGCCTGCCATCCTGCTGGGAGAAAGCGCCAAGCTATCTAAGACACAAACTAAGACTTCCCACTTTATGAGGCCTCAGATGGTCACCCCAGACAGAGTTGGCATGCAAGGATTAAACTTGTTTAATCCTGGAACTTACCCACCGACTCCCAGTGGGAAACACAGGGGGAAACTGGCCCAGAGAGGAAAGGCTTGGCTGGGCCCTGGGTTCCAACCTGCMATCCCGGGACCCTCTCAGGAGCAGGGCCTCCCCTCCTCCCGATCTCAGTAGCTGTACTCAAAAGCCGCTGTACCTCCCTTATGCGTCTTTTTTGTCAATGCTAGGGATCAAACCCAGGGCCTTGTGCCTGCTCAGGAAGGCTACCACTGGGCTATGTCCCATCTCCAAAGAGATCTTGCTGTAAACAGTCCAGCTCGCAGTGACGTCTGTTAGTCAGAAACTAGAGTAGGGCTGTCAGAGCATCCAGGCCAGTGTCCAGCTGCCCAGCTTGTGCACTGCACTACTCTAGAAGGTTCCATTCTCCAGACTACTATGTGAATGGTGCCCTGAGTTGCACAGTGTGTGRCCTGCAGGGCTGTCCTTGGTGCTTCTTCCGAGGGCTCTCCCACCTGTGCCAGCAGACTCCAACCTGTGTGACCAACAACAGTTACAACCATATTAATATCTAACACTTATTAAGCATTTCCCATAGGCCAGGCTCTGTGCTGTGCATTCTCCCTGATTAACTCAGTTAACCCTCCCACAGACCTGTTAATCAGTGAGAAAAGCCCACCCTGCCCTGCCCTCCTCTCCCTAGCCAGATGGCCGCAGCATGGTGACGCCATGTGCCTGCCTTGGAGGTGCACCTGCACCAGAGCTGTGGTCCTGAGGGCACAGGCCCTCCCACCCCTCACCACCCACCACCCGGTGAGGTTGTGACCAGGAGCTGCTCCTGTTTTCTCAGCCCCAAAGAGGAAGAGAGTAGAATAAATAGTAGGTTCGCAAACTGTGTTCCGTGRAACCCCAAGGGGTTCCTTGGAATGTCCTCAGTGTTGCCGTGGCTCACGCTGCAGACCACCTCCAGCCGGAAGGAAGCCCCACGCTGGACTCTGTAGGAGTGCAGTTGAAGGGTCCCCTGATAGACCCTTCAAAAAAGAGAAAAAGGAGGTTTGAGAACCACCATAGATGGGTAGTTGTCCCCTGACCCCTCCTGGGGTTTGGGGACAGAGACTCCCAGCCCCTCCACACCCACTGACTCAGGGGTCCCTGGCTGAGGCCTGGGGTCTGACTGTGCCCCTGCCGTCAGCAGGCCTGAGGCCAGACTGTGCAGGCTACGGCGCCATGTCTCACGGGGCCAGGGCAGAGTGGGCCACACCGTGGGGACAGCCCTGTGGCAATGTGACTTTTAAGTCACTGTGAGTCCTCTCTGGGAAACTTCCACTTTAACAAATCAGACCCCCCCCCACACTCCTGGGACAAAGGGCCCTGAAGCCGCGTCAGCTGGGAGCCCCGTGGGTGAGCTCCAACGTGCCCTGGTCCCCCACCTCCCCAAGACTCCCTGGGGCGCCTATTCCCAGATTCACTTTGTAAAAGGAMAGACCCGTGACTTTACAAATAAGGCCCTGTAAACAAACCTGAGGTATGCAGGGTAGAAGTTATAAAGTCATGGCTGTCACCTGTGAAGTGTCACTTTGCAGGAAATTTGAGGGTGTCCGTCCGTCTAGGGTGGCAGCGGGGTGTGGAGATTTCAGGCCAAAGCCACACTCGTATGGTATCCTAAGGCCCAGTTCCCAGGAGCGCGGCCAATATGCAGCCCTCTGCCCTGGTGGCCCTGCCCRCTGTCCCCCACAGCCACGGAGGACCCCCCCCCCGCCCCCGTGAGCACTCATCTTTAGGCAACAGCAGCAGCAGCTGAGCCCCTGCCCACTCTTCCTGGGCACAGCGGGACTTCCGCCCAGCAGCAGGTGCCCCGGGGAGCCTTGCCACACTGCCAGGCAGAGTCGGAGCCCAGGAAGTGCCCTGCTGGCCTGACACCTCCCTGAATTTCAGGGTTGGAAACCCCTGGTTGCTTTCTAGAGTGTCACCCGTAAGTGCCCGTTCCTTGCATGAGGAAGGGAGCCTGTGAAGTTGCACGCCACACCCCCAGAATCTTCCAGGCTACAGGGATGTGCCTCATGCGATCCTTG